GGCGTCGAGTATTATAAATTTCTCTTTGTCCAATATGTTGAAAACAGCATAGCGTTTCAAATGTTCAAGAAAGCAAATTAGAGTTTTTTTTTTTTTTTTTTTTGTTTGATTCGATGGTTATAACTAAGTGAAATTATCACAACATCACTCAGCAAAGTACTATATTTTTCATTAGCCAAGTAAAAAAATTTTCTTTTATTTTCTAATTCTCTGAAAGCCTCATAAACCTTTTAAACCTTCATGTTATTAATAATTACGAATCTTTACTGAAGTAAGAAACTCAATCTTTATAAAAAAGAATTTTCTTTAATTTTAGTTCCAATGGTGGATTATACAAAGATATTTAAAGCCAAAAATATGAAAAGGAAACAATGCAAAGGATACCAAACTATAAAAGATAAAGCAATACAAAAGCTACTGAAATAAAAAAGATGCAAAAGAAACAGTTACAAAGCAGAAAGGGAGGAAAGAACAAAACAAACGGCGACAGCGGAAGAAAGTCTATAAACCGATTGTTGCTTCCAAGAACCTCTCCCATATCGCAGGAAAGAAGAGAGCAAGGCAGTGGAAGGATAAGTTCAGTCTATTTCCTCTTACCCGCATAACTTTCAAAAGAAATAAGAAACGGTATTGAAGGGATTTAGGTTTTTGGAGAGATACATTTCTGTCAATAAACCTACATCGTTCCATCATTGATTCCAGCCCCTTTTGTAAGTTCTACTCTCTTCATTGTGGTAACTCCTGCTTTCTCTAGACATATAGCTATGATGAGTAAAATAAAAAGTAGACGCGAATACAACTGATTGATTGACTTGAATGTAGCTCATCTATAACCTTATTCGGTATTTTTTTTTCTTTTTTGCTAATCCAATACTTTGAGCTGCTGAAGACTTACTTTTAGCTGCTTCGAGAGGTGAGGAGACACTTCGAAGGCTTTGTATGCTCAATGTAAGTTTATTGAAGTTCAAATCATTTGAGTAGAAATTACGTAGCATGAGAGTCTAGAACATCACGTTCCCGAAGGTGAAAGTTAAGATTCTGTTGTTTATTTTCTTCCTCCTTCCTGCATGCCTTCGTGGTGTAACGGTAGCACACTCGAAACGTATTCGAGAGGTCCAGATTCGAGTGCAGGCGAGACATTACTCTTGTCATTACGCTTTCCCTGTCTCCTGCTTGAAAATAACCTAATGACTCTACATTGGAAACAGCTATGTAAGTTCGTATATTCTATTGAAGCAAGTCGCAATAAATTCCGCTTACATTAGTTAATAAAAACCGAGTTGAAATTACATCAATTATGATGCTTATTTTGAAATTTGTGCTGTGTATCTAGATTTTTTCGGGTTAGCCGTTTGTTTCTCAGATAATAAATAAATAAATTATAATCAAAGCTAAGCGTGAGAGGATATAGAGGAATGAAGTAATCAAGACCCTACAATTTAATGCTGTACTGTTGGTATCTCTGGTATGTTTTTTACTACAAATTAGTAATTTATAGTAGATGCTTATTATCTTGATGCACTCATTGCTGAATAATTGTGTTTTTATAGAAAATAATTCTACAGCATAATTCAACAAACTGGCATTTCATCCATTAATAGTCAATTAATTAGTGTCTTTTTTATTATAAAATTGAACAAATGACAATAATTTACTATATTGAAACTAGGAAATTATTTTTAACATTCAAGTTATTCGTATGTCTAAATGATTCAGGAGAAGAGAACCTAAAAAATAAATTCACTATCACAGAGCTAGTTTTCTTGTTATGCATAATAAAATCGCACAGATTTTAAAATGGTTTTAAATTTAAAATAAAGAAAAATAAATGTTGAAGAAAATTCAGTGTATTACGTTAAAATACAAACTCTCTTATTTTAATAAACTTAAACGCTAATAAGAAAAAATCCTATCCATTTCTACAGTCAGCAGGTCTAGGAAACTTTCTAACCACGAAGCACTTGAGTAAGCAGATTCATTCAAAACCGTGAAAATTACGAAATAAAGCTATTAAACAACAGCTAACTATCATAATATACGAGTATTCTTAATGTTTTTCTAAAAAAAATAAATGTGAGTGAATAATCATACGAACAGCCTCTAAATTTACTAAACAAACATAAAAAGAAAAAACTATTAATTAATTTTTGTAATTCTTTGATAACTTCTAATTTACCTTAACCTGTGTTTCTGGCCCTTTCTAATGTCTACTTTAACTTAAATAATAATGCGCTTGCTTGTTACATATTCCTTCCCTCCTCAAGGAGAAAAGATAATAACCGAAATGTGTTTAAAAAAAAAGAGAGACCGAGAGAAAAAGAAAGAAAGAAAATTAAAACCACAGCACATGATGCACTTCGTGACTTATGCCTTCAGGGAAGAAAGTCGATGTTAATGTTTCTTACATAATGAGCAGAAAGAAGAAACGTGTAACTGCCAGCAGACGGGTGCCGTGCAAATTTACAATTCACTAAATCAAGATTCATAAATCGATAAATGATTATTTCTGATTTTAATTCGTTAATCATTCAGATATTTTTATAATCAAGCTCACTGCACTAGTCAACATAACCAAGACAGTTTAAGATTTTATTTCACTTAATTTGCAATATAGGGAAAATCATCTTAATGAGGTTTTTGGTTCCTTTATTTAGTTAAACTAATTGAACTGTAAAACTAGCATCACTTCTATACTCTATTGCATGTAAAACAAGATCTACAATTTATAAAGATATGTAAACTATTAGAGTGAAAGTATTTTAGAGAAATTCTGCAACTGATCCATTAAATCTTTAGCAACCGACAGTGACCCGGGGGGTGGGGTTTAAAAGTCTGTGCTATTGAAATATGTGTAAATGTATACTCAGTGGCATAGCTAGGGTGGGGCAAGGTGGGACATCTGTCTCCGGGCGCTGAATCCAAGGGGCGCCAAATTTATGCTACGAATTTTTTTGATGAATGTTTCCCATTCTTGGCACACAGAAAGGGGCGCAAATTCTTCAGTTGTCCCCGGGCGCTGGAAACTCTAGCTACGCTACTGTGTATACTGCTCTGGCACTTGCTAAACATTTCTATAAACTTTTCAAGATCGCTAAAGCAAGAGATATTCAGATTTTAATTATCTTAAAAAAATTATAACGGGCAATCCCCCCTCCAAGAAAATCGAGCGTTAAGGAGTTGAAAAGCGTATTAACTGTATACAGCTAGTAAAATCTTCAAAAACACTTAACGTGAAATTTAATCTTGTTTCGGATAAATACGATATTCAATAATGTAAGTAAAAGAGAGTGCTTCTTTCATTTGTCTTATACTCAGTTCCAAACGTTGAATCAAAGATCACGTATTGCAGTGTATTTTAAGTTAAGCAAACTACTCATTGCATCAACCTACTTTTAACATCTACAGAGGGGAAAACCCAATTGTCCCAGTTTCGGACACTTTCTGTGGAAATCAACAAATTTTAAAGCATAATTGCCTTACAATAAGATAAATAAAATAGTGATAAACCCTTTGGTAATCCAAGCATACATGTAGCTTTACGTTTTGTAATTATTATTCTAAGAAAGTAAAGAAAACGTTTCGCGGCATAACGGCTTATAGTAAACATGAATACATAGCATGGGGAGGAAGGTAATGTGGAAATATAGCCCTGTTTTTAAATTTCATTTGAAAGTTGTTTTATTGAAAATTTCATACATGATAAAGAAAAAATAAAAATAAAAAAGCTTTTAAATGTAAAATAAGTTGAAAATTGCTCTAAATTTTCGGAAACACTAGAAAGGGAACCGTAAGAAAATAAATTACTAAAAAAGCAGCCATTCAATATTCAAACATATCACACCCTGCATCATTCATAAGAAGAAATAAATATTACATAAACATATAAATAATAGATATCACATAAGAAATGAATTAAGAATCTTTGACTACTTTGGTTCCCAAAAATACCTTCTCTTGTTTTTCCGAGTTAGCATATTTTTGAAAAGGCATATAGAAGCATTAGGTTATTTCGAAGCAGGAGACATGAAAAATGAGCAATGCCTTCGCCTGGACTCGAACCACGGACCTCTCGAATTTGCGTAGAGCCTGCTGACCACTACACCACGAAGGCATACTAAGAAGGCGGGAGAAATACCTTATAGGCAAACAGTTTGCTCTTTTTAATATCAAATTCCATCATAAAGGTTATGAAAATTGAGCCGTTTTCAAATGTATAAGTCTACCATTTGAAATTTTTAAATAACGTTCAAATATTTTTTATTGGCAATAGCTCATTATAATTTTCTAGAAAATGTTCCAGAGAGAGAGAGAAATTTCTGAGCAATGTTTTAAATTATGTATTTAAAAATATTATTAAGTTAGGCTTTTAAGATATCTTTATATCAAGAATAATAATTTTATAGCAAGCTTAAGTTAATGAAATTAGAAGTGAAAAAAAAATTATCAAACTGCTGCTCATGTCACCTGAAAGGAATCGCTTCGAAAGGTTACAATGCAAGTCATAAAAAAATCCAGTAAAATGCTACTTTCATAAACAGGAATTAATTTTAAAAATCCTTCGCGTTTGCCTAAAAATACCGTTTTTCTCTTTTATTCAATGTCCTCAATAATTGCCATATTTTATTCCTATATTACATTGATAAATTTTTCTTTAAGAGTTAATTTGGCACCATTTGACTCGGTCATCAAACCTTCACACTTAATCATAACAAATAGTCGGCAACATGTTTACACAAGGATGAACTTTTCACTTCAAAGTTTCAAGGTCCTCGCTCTTTATTTTCATTGAAATTCTTAAGTTTTGTTTACTGCCTGCTAGTATTAATCGTATTTACTTTTACTGATTCGAGATGAATATTTTAGAAAGCCGGCAGATAATGCTCCATAAAAACTTCAAAAATATTATATTTACATGACAAATTCCCTAATATAAATCAGTAAATCTCCCAAAATTATATGCAGTATTAAACAAAAGTTCTGCTTAAGGAATGCAAGCTTACTTCATAGTCTGTGAATCCTTCCAGATTTCCTCACAAAAGCACAGGAAAGCATCAAAACGTCAAAAACAGATGCATAAGTTCATGTCGCCATACAAAACGTTCACTTATTTTACTCAACTGTTTGAAATAGCGAGAAGGGAAAACCCGCTTACAACCTTAACACGTTTAACGGGAACACATCCGTATGTAAGAAGACAAGAGGCAAAAAACACCGGCGTAGGTTTTGACACGCTTCATAATCTAGGTCGAATCCGCACCTTTCCCTCCAACTGTAACCCACTTTCGACCCTCTGACACATAAGAAAGAATTTCTCTGATATATATGATAGCTCTCTAAGACACTAGGAAAATAAACATCTTCCTGAAAGGGTCCCTTTGCTTTCCTTTTAATATACTTCTCAGGTCTTGTAATATCCGCAATCAATAACAAAACGAAACTGAGATTATTAAACTATTAAAATTAGCAATATATTTTCTTTCCCATACTGATATTAGAAATACAAATTGAAATTAAACTCATTTCTACAGTGCTTGCACAAATAATAGCCATCGTATGGAAAAGGAATAGTTGCAGAAAACAGTGCAGTACAAATGTTTACAGTTTGCGCATGCTCAACTGAAAATCACAGTTTAAGAACACTTCCATTATTGTTTAAAATACCAGTCATCTTCATTTTCGAATACAATCAAAACCACTGTCCTCAACTTTTACTTTTCAGTAGTCCAAACGTTATAGACATTTTTATAAGAAAATTTTTGTATTCCTAAATTTTTAACAGGTTGCCTTAGAACTTAAGAAAACTGTTCATCCCCACTCAGTTTGGTTTGTTTTTGGTTGCTGCAAAACACGTAAAGGCTATCTGCCTAAGAAGAGAGGTGCCTTCTTGGAGAACTTTCTGGGGAAATTCGGCTCGTATCCACGTTACATATGGGGAAAACAACGCAACACGCCTTTGCATGAAGCTAGTTCTCCGAAATTTGAACCCCCGTACCGTTCTACTAGTGCTCAGCGACTTTACCACTCCATCGCTGGTGAGCATGCATCTCCGGTCAAACAATCATTTAAAATGTAAATATAGTGCTTAATTTGGCCGAAGATTTATCGACTTGCATAACGAGTTGTATATATTGAACTACCGCAACCAGTGAACTCTCTCTCTTCTGCTGTTTCCCTTTTAATCGTGGTACACCGAGCCAAAACAATCGATAATTCTAGTTGATAATTAGTACTGATGCTTAGTAGCAAAGGCCACACTTTAAGTAACATCAGTTTTAAGAATTACGCATTTCTGTCTTTAGATGGTTGAATCACGGATATTTTCAGAGGCGAATTTAACGGCAGGCACACAGAGCTCGTGCCCTATGTCCTGACTTTTGAAAGGCTCAACAAAACGCCAACTTTGCAGCTTTTTCTCTATTAACACCAAGTTGTTTTTCATATATGCAATTTTAATTACATACAAGTTTACGATTGGTGGTAAAACCTGACATTATGCTTATATTCGCTTATTTCCATTATTTATTACGCCGCTGTTTATTACACACATATTACGCTGCACAGGGTTCGCAGGGCTGCACTTCTGCTCATTGTAATGAAATCGCATTTGCTATTTTGTACTTATGAAGGTTCTCCTGCAGTGCAGACTTTTGACATAAGCAAATAAGTAAGGATGTAAATTAGTTTGTGTATATATATTAGTCTCATTTACAGTTTTATAGTTTTCTATGTAGATAAATAAATATTCAGATAAGTTTAAATTATACTAAAATAAAATTAATCTCTGTTGTTGGAATTATATTAAGATAAAATTAATACCTGTTGTTAATCAGCGCCCGGATTTTCGTACTTATGAATATTTTTTAAAATTTATTAAATCATTAATTTATTGTATTATAATGAAAAATGTCTTCTCTAGTACTCTAATCATAAAGACTGCTAAATTTTATATTTTTCTTTTCATTGGCAGCTAGAAAAATGACACGCTATCTACCAAGACATATTAAAGGAAGACGCGAGCGAGTTGAAATCAACAAAAAGTTGCATTTAACGAATTTATAATTGACCCTGACCATTCAGACTATCAAAATGAGAACGAGAATGAAGAACAAAGAACTTCTATAATCAATCAACAAAAGAAAGTAAGTTGAAGTTGAAAACGAAGGCACAGAAGAAAGCAACAATGATGAAGCAGATGAAAAAAACCAGTCAGCAATCAATCAGATGGGGAAAAACCATTAGAAAAAATAATATACAAGAAACTCCACTAAAAATTATTGAAACTTAAGCGGAAAATATTCCATTCAAATTAACAGTAACAGTGATTTTTCTCTCCCCTAATGTTAAGTCTAATGAAATGGTTGAATTTCTAATTTCAAATAAAACCAAAAAATATAGGCGATACAACTACTTTTAAATCGGTCTGTGATGACCACGATGACCGCATTTGCTAAAGAGGCTTGTGCAAAGAACGTTTTTACAAGAAAAACTTCAGATGGTGAAAAAGAAGAAAGGATGTAATTAATTTTTTTCGAAACATCCAGCTCCGCTTATTGTTCCCATGCAAAATATTTTCAGGCTCAAAGATTAAGTTGCGAACAGGATTCCAAAGCTGACAAAATATTGGAACATCATCATTCGAACATGAAATGTCAACAGAACACGTTCGCATCAATGTGCAACATCATTCAAGCCCTCCTTTACGTTAAATCGCATCGATATCCAAAACCTGCAAAAAGGAAATTATTGGAGAGAGATTCTGAGCAGAATTCTATACACTATAAAGTTTCTCGTTAGTTTGGAATTGCTTTTAGAGTCCATAATGCAGCTTCTTTTAGAAATAACAATTATTAGACTAATTTAGAGTATTTGAATGAATATGAAGAATTTTTTTAAGTTGCACTCACTAACGTATGGAAATTAAGGTAGCGGACATGTAAATTACTTATCGCATCGGACTTGTGATGAACTTTTCGCAAATTATTGCTGAGTCTCTTATGGCACTCATTGTGGAGAAAATAAAATGCACAAAATATTATAGTATTATTTTAGTTTCTATACCCTATTTTCAGCACGTGAATCAACTTACATTTATAGTTTTCCTATTTATCGCAAATGGGGATGTCGAAGAATGATTTTTAAAGTTCTTCTCTAAAACACGATTTGGAGTAGCCAGATAAGACCTTTTTAACTATCTTGGAAAATCTGCCAGTAAATATAAAATATTGCCGTAAACAATCATACAGCAGCGGTAAGTAGAGTGGTCTCCAGGATGAGAATAGGACAACACGATCCATCAGCAACATTTATTTCGTGTGCTAGTCATTCTTAGTTGTAATGTTCCTGAAGACAACTGAGAATTCTGAAGGTCTTTACAGTGGTGTCCCAACTAAAAGGTGGTGAAACATAATTCGTCATCACCAGGATTTGGCGAATGAGTCTTCTCCTCCCCAGCCCTTTAAGAAGGGAATATGTAAGGAATTTTCTCCATCCTTACCATGTGCTTTCGTGAATTAACAGGATAGCAGATCTGACTAATAATCGAAAGGTCTGGAGTTCGAGTACTGGAGAGGACATTGTTCATTCCTCGTGTTTTCGGGTTTTAATAAATGCTAGTGACTCTTCAAGCTAACTCGCTGAAGACATTAACGTTAAAAAACGTTCTTATAATTATAAGTAATAAAGTTCTTTAAAGCGTTAAAAAAAATCTTCTTTAAAGCAATATGATACCTTTTCCAAATCTTTTTCTAAGTTCATCACCAAGATTCAATTTTCTTAATCATATGGCCTTCACCACATTTTTTTCTTACTTTTTAACTTTATTTGTTGAATAACAGCACTATACAAGCACATAATATTCACTCCTGCATTGACTCTTTTTGTTCCTCTATCCCTTATTTACCTTATGCACCGTTGCTCATCTTCCCTACTCTCTCCTATGCTATCTGCCCCTCACCCACCAGCGGCCGAGCGGTAAAGACGCTGAACACTGGTAGTTCGGTCCAAGGTTCGAATCCTGCGAACGGGCTGGCAGCATGGGCGTTTTCGTGGTTTTCCCCATGTGTAACGTCTATACGAGCCAGTTTCCCTTAGAAAGTCCTCCACGAAGGCATCCCTCCCTTTAGGCAGATAGCCCTCGTGTGCTTTGCCATAAATGAATAATCCAATCCAATCCTATCTGTCCCGCCGAGCTTGTAGTTACCCTTCTGCACTGGAATCCCGCAGATTAACTTATACTCCCTGTAATCATCTAGAAATACACAGTAGTAAAAGAATTAGCTGCTAGTATTCTATAAGTATTGTAAAAATAACCAGATTTGGCGATGCGATACAGCCCTGTTTGGCAACATCAAAAAGCGTCAAAAATTCATTTTGGAAAACTTAAAAAGTCAAGGTGACTAATTCTTGAAACAAAACTATACAATAATGAAATAAAAGTTAGCGAAATACGTATGTATATATAATATATACGAGTATATATATATATAGGCTGTCAACACGCGGTAATTTAAATGGAAAGTTTAACAGAACTGGTGAAAGTTAAATTTTGGGGAAATTAAAATCATAATGCAAGACATTTTGGGAATCATTTTGATGTGGAATGATATCTCATACTGCAGATATTTTAGCAAGGTACGGTCAGTACACACTTTATGGTGGTCTCATAACGGTATACTGCGCTGATGGTGCGACTCCATGTGGTAACTGGTGTTGGATACGTTTGTTAAGGTTGCGTATTACTTACTGCATATAGAACTGAAATACATTTAATATAAATGTTTGAGAAGTTCTATTACAACACATAACAGCATTGAAGACATAGAAAAAACTGTTATGTGTTTTTGCCGTCATTATGTGAGGATCTTGCTAACGGCAAGAGTCTCTTTAGTTGAGAGTTTAGGAACATTCTGAATTCTTGCCTTGTTTAAAACATTTTTCAAACTGAATTAGTCACGCCCTCTTAATTTTTCGGTTGTGTTTTACGTCCTCTGATTCGTTGTAGTTGAAATGATATTAGAAGAACAACAGGAGCATTGGTCTGTTAGCCTCCCTGAATTCGAGAAGCTGTGGTGACAGACACAGTGCAGATCGCTAAAATCCCTTGACATTGGCCGTGACGTTACAATTCTTGTAATGTCAAGAGTAGCTGTAACCGAATGAAATATTTCTTCTGCAGTGTCACAGACTGCCATCTCACACATCGTAACAGCTCGAACACTGAGCCCTGTGGGGAACCGCACATATGAGTTTCTTATTCTTTTTGTGGTTTGCCGCAGTGTAATAATAAAGAAATGCGCTATGGATTGAAAGTACAGTTGTGATGAGGTGCAGTAAATAATGAACAAAGCAGTAATCTGTTCTACATCAACTACAATTAGCGAAATAAATCGAATTATAAATTTCAGAGCTGCAAGCATTTGGCCAAATGGTAAAGCTGTTTATCAAAGATAGTTTAAAATGCGTTCAAATCAAGGTGCCTGATGGAAATTTTTTTTTTTTTGTTGTTTTCCCTGTGTGCAATATTTAACCCCGTTAAACAGTAAACTTTTTTCTACTATCTTTTGGAGCTCTTTCTCCCAATAATAAAAATGCTGCAAATTTTTCATCTGAATAAATATATTTTGGACACATTGCAAGCTACATATTTTTTGGTCATGTACTACTCCTGAATATTAGCTATATTTTTCTTTATAGTTCTGTAGTATATAATAAAAGGTTTGGATTCCTTCCACCAAGGTCCAACAATACGGTGGAAGGAAACCAAATCTTTAAATAAGTAGGCCGAGTAGTTAAGACCGCTGAATAATGGTAGATCAAGATGGTTTGAGTTTCAGCGCAGGCGAACCGGGTGGCTGTATTGTTGGGTTTCCCCATGTGTAACGTGAATGCGAGTCGGTTTACCTCAAAAGGTTCTCCAAGTAGGCATTCCCCTCTTAGGCAAATAGCCCTAGTGGCTTTGCCATATTCAAGTAATCTAACCTATCTTTCCACAAATTCATTATTTGTCGAAACATCTATGAATTTACTACGAGGATCTTTTTCCATAATTCTGTCATTCATAATTTTCCACTGATTTTTAAATTTCAAGAATCAGATTTTTCGTTTAAATAAAGTGCAGTGTAAAATCTATTAATTTCTAATGCCTAGCTGTATAATTTCAAACAATATCTAAAAGACTTTGTATGTATTTATATCTTAAAATAAAGACATAGTACAGGATTAAAAGTCTTTTTAATTTTTAGAATTTAGCAATCAGCTTGACTGATTAAAAACCAATTACTCAAGAAATATTGATAGCAGAGCACATTTAATGAAAAACAAACACAGGACTGTCATATAAAACTTATGAACCTCTTAGCGGGCTATCCGTTCAATTAATCGGCATGAAATTTCAGACTTTGTTATTTGAAGGTATGCGCTCGATATTGCGATGATTTAAAACAATACAGCTTCTTATAAGTTAAATGAATAAATAAATATTACTAGAATAGCTCTTTTCACAGATTTTATCGTCAATAGATTACATCCGTGTACTATAAATTAGCCTTAAAATTGCAAAATAAAAGAAATTTGGGAAAAGACGACGGATAGAAAATGAACTACAGAAAAAACTTACCAAAATAATTTTATTTAGTTCATACACCTGACACTTTTCATCTCACATTTTTAACCTGAATAACATTAAAATTAATTGTTGCAGAATGTTGGAATTCTTAATCATATACCTTTGGAGCAAAAACTTTCAGATAAATAACAATTTTGAAGTTGCCCAAGTACCTTATGAAAATGTTCCTAACCTGTCATTGCTTGCGCATGCTACAAACACTGACAAGCAAATATACATATCTAGGAATTTGTCCTAGAATAGATCAGAAATCAAAATATATCTATACCTATATACGTTAATCTGAATAAGAATGCTCACGGCTCAAGACTTCTGCGCAAATGCTCACCTTAGGTCGCTATTATTGTAGGTGATGCTCATCATTTATGTTTATGGTCTCAAAAATAGTGATCATTTTCAGAAATGGTCTCCATATGAGGTTTCATTTAGATTGACAACGAACACATAAGAGGTTATATATACGTATAAATGTATATACAAAGAGATTCGTCGGAGTTTAATTCACAAAATAAAGACCTTAAAATCTCTACAAAAAGTCTGCCCTTGATAGCTAAAAGCATTTTCTTTGTTATTTTATTTCATTTACAAGAATTTAACTGTTATAAATTCGATAGCTTCCTTTCCAAAGGCGTGGAATCTTTTGCTCAAATTACTTTAAAGTTGTTATCTAAGTGCATGAAAAATAATGATGAATTAGATTATTCAGATTATGGCAAAGCACGATTATGGCAAAATTCTTTTTTTCCTTGCCATTGACGAAACCCAGGTTCGTACATTATTTTCTCTTCGCTCTCGGTAATAAATAGACATTCTTTTGTTGTTGTTACAGACATGTTTAGTAAACCTATGTTTCATCGAGTGTGACAATGTATTTCCATTTATTTTCTGCTAAATAGTTTTCATACATAATTTTATTTTTTTGTCCTTACTGATGTATTTAAAGGATTTAATTTCTGCGTCGATGGATTTTCTATTCTTACCAGCGATTTAACTTTAGAAACATTACAAACAGTACGTAACTTTCTCGGACATAGTTTGGAGTCTTCTTTCCCTATAAAAATAATGATTAACCGTTTTTGCCTCGCCGATTAATAATGTTGCTTATTTTGCAGGTGACAGGTGACGGAGGACGGGGACGCCTGAAGTTTAACAGAGGTTAACAGGCATATGTCCCGCGTCCTCCCCTGGAGTTTATTTAATAGTTATAAGTGTGGATACATGGCCATACAGGGGCAACTGTTTGACATCTGGCATTTGAAGTACATTTGAATTAACATACAGGCACGGTTTAAAAAAAAAAAAAAAAACACTTAATAGGTTATAACAAAAAGAAAAATTAAACACCTAAAAATGGTGTTCAATTTTCTTCTGCTCCCTATGCAGTCAGAGATTAGATGGTAGAGCATTAGAGTGCATATGTCAGTGCAAGTAATGCATGTAAGCCATATTACTCTGGTTGACAGAGGTCCTGGCCATATGCTGCAATGGTGGTTATTATTTTGCAGATTTTATTTATGGCCGCTCTGTTTTTGGCTAGGAACTTGTGAAATGCTGAGATATTGGCTGGTATCGGGAAGTGGAACTGTTCCGTGAGTGGGCACTGAAAGATATAATGGTCCGGTGACCCCTCACCCCCGCAAACACAGCGATCCGTGGTTGAGAGATGGTGCGGCGGTAGAAGTAATCCGGGAAGGGACCATGACCAGTAATGAAGTTGGTAAGGGGAGCAATTGCCATAAGGCGCTCCGTGGTTACTTTTGGCAAGAAGCTATGCGCTCTCCTTCCCGTGTCGCCCTGATCCCATTCTCTTTGCCACCACTGGATAGCGGCATTTCGCAGTTGACTTTTGAGGAAAGATGGTGGTGCTGATACTGATATCGGTCTGGCATTTTGGTTCGAAGCAGCCTCTTTAGCGAGTTCATCCGCTGTCTCATTACCCATGTTACCTGCATGGGCTTTAATCCATACTAGGTCAACATGTGCGTGCCGATTATCTTTTAGGATATGCTGCAGTCGTATGATCAGCGGGGAGGCGTGACTATGTTTGTCAAGAGCAAGCAGTGTCGACATACTGTCTGTATAAAGCTGCACATGTGTGATGTTGTTGAGCGCCACGTATTCAATGGCAGCTGTTATGGCAACTACTTCTGCTTGAAAAATGCTATTATTTGGATTGAGGTGCCCTTTCCAATGGTGTGCAGCATGGCCTTGCCTGTAGTATATAAAGGCACTACCTACACCCTCAGCAGTTTTCGAGCCATCTGTGTAGAACGCGTGCATATTAGGGTTTCCTTCTGGTTGACTTCGTGACGGTTTGAGGACAGTGTGAATGCCAAGTCCCTTGTGTGCTGGGTGCGTGTGGAGAGGAGTACATGGATGTTCGTAATTTGCAGGGCTATGTAAGGTGCCTGCAAAGGTTGCGTCTTTCTGTAGATGTATTATTTTAGTATATGTGGCCTCTAGCTCCGCTTGGATATGAAGTGGTATGATGCCTGCCAAGGTGAGTGCTGCATAAGTTGCAGTGGTGCGGTAGGCTCTGCATAAGCCTATGGCGAATGGGCGCTGTAGTGATAGGAGTTGCTTAACCTTGCGTGCGGTCATGGGTTGTGCCCATATAGCTGCCGCATAGAGTGCCACCTTCTCAGCTACAGTTTTATAAAGTACCTTTTGAATGTGGGGATTCCGTCCCCAGTTCCGGCCTTGGAATTGTCGTGATCTCCTGGCAATTGCAGATGTTTTAATCTTTTGTGCCTGGATATGCGGAAGCCAAGTCAGACCTGGGTCCCATATTACCCCAAGGTATCTTAAAGTTTTTACGACTTTAATATTCCGGCCTTGTAGTTTGATACATGGGCTACGTGTTGGATTTGTACCCTTTCTTGGAAAGATGATAGCAGTGGACTTTGTGGTGGATATTTTGAGTTTTAGCTCTTCGCAGAGGTTGGCAAAGATAGTGCATGACTCACTGCCATGGGCTTCAAGCTCAGCGCGTGTGCGGCCTCTGACCAGTAATGCCGCGTCGTCCGCGTATGCAACTAACACAGTATGTTGTGGCCACCTTGCCTCTAAGACTTTATTAAAGGTGAGGTTCCATAGCAGAGGCCCTGCACAGGACCCCTGTGGACATCCTCTCACTTGTGTTATTGAAACAGTACTACTGTTGTTAGAGATCATCAGTTGCCGGTCTGCCAGATAGTTGTCCAGAACTTGAAAGATATTTCTTGGGCATCTTGCCTCTCTGAGGGCCTGCCTGATGGCAGGCCACCAGAGGGTATCGAACGCACTTTGCAAATCTATCGATATAAAAGCCGTCTGGTAGCCCTGCGATTTGTTCTGAATTATGACTTCATGGATTCGCTGCAGGGCATGAATGGTAGAACTGCCTTGTTTGAAGCCAAATTGTCTTGGGCTAATGCTTTGGTATTGATGTAGATGAAATTTTAGCCTGTTGACGATGAGCTTCTCGTAAATCTTTCCCATCGCCGACAGAAGGCAAATTGGCCTAAAGGAACTCGATACTAGGGGGTCTTTATCCTTTTTTAAAAAATAATACCACATTGCCTTTTTTGAAAGCTGTGGGGAATATTTTATAATGCAGAAGCTGGTTGTAGTATTTATGGAAGTAGGATGGTCGTGCCTGATATGCAACTTTGATAATTGCGTAATCGAGTCCGTCTGGACCCGGGGCCTTTTTTAGTGGCAGATACCGGAAGATATTACGTATCTCCTGTGCAGAAAACTGTATATCGTTCGGTGTGCATGGCGAGCTTGTATCTTCTCTAATTTGCCTCTGTTCTGAAGTATCTGCTTGTGTATCATCTGTGGGAAAGATAGCATTTAAAAGTTCCTTGGCGGTGGAGGCCGCTACGTCCATAGTATGTGGTGCTGTTGTTTGAACTGGTACTTGCGCTGGTTGGAAGATCTTCTGCGTTGCCAGTTTGTGTAAAATTCCATATGGATTACTGTTACTGGTGCAGAAAGATCTCCAGCTGTTAATTTTAGCTTCAAGAATTGCTTTCTTGTAGGCGGCCCTTTCTTGCCGAAAGGCCGTAAGGATGTTGGAAGCTACAATTTCGTTGGTAGCAGATCTGAGGCGGCGGCGCAGAGCTCTGCACCTCTGTTTCATCTCTCTCAGTCTTCCCGTCCACCAGGATATGCCTTGGAGTTTTTTGGCGGTCCTTGTAGGGAGGATCTGCTGACATATTTGTCTGAGTAATGACAGAATGTGGTCTGTGTAATCATCCAGTTCTTGGGGGTTGGTAAGGTCTTCTAGTATGTCTTCTTCTCTGATGAGCAGCTCCTGAAAGGCATTCTTCAGTCGTCGTATCTTTCCGCCCGGTAGTTTGAATCTCTGGAGGATATTAATGCTGGCTTCAAGTGTTAGTGTGAAGTGGATGTATCGATGATCTGAGTTACTCTCATCATCTAGAACATCCCATGAGCTAAAGTTGTTGGCAAAATTAGCAGTTGAGAGTGTAAGATCAGGCCATCCTTTATGATAGGTATTGTCATAGGTTGGTTGTGCCCCTTGACTATTATGTAAATGTAGATCGTGACAGGCCATAAAGTCTTCCATGTCTCGCCCTTTAGGCGTTGTGTCTTGGTAGCCCCATATAGTATTATGTGCATTGAAATCTCCTCCAACGACGTGAGGTACTGTTGGGCATTTCTGTTTCACTCGTATAAAGTTGCAAGTCACATCCGTAAGACCTTCCGTGGGCGGGGAGTAGACGGAGGTTAGGAGGAATTGCTGCTCTTCAAAGATGACTAGAATAGTAACGAAGTCTCTTTCTGTGGTTACTACGTATGGAGACCAGGAGGGGTTGCAGCAGACAATGGCTGCCCGTGGTGCTTGTTCTGCATTGGCTTTCTTCTGAAAAATTTTCCATGCCATTGGTAGGCTTGCCACTTGTCCCTTCGCGACAATAAGGTTCTTGAATTATCAAGAAATCTAAGTTATATTGAATAGCATGCTGGACTACCTGCGTGGTCGCGGCTACCGCCCGTTGTAAGTTAATTTGTGTGCACTTTATCTGTGCTTGATTAGAATTAGCTTCCGCACTTGAAGTTTCTTGGGTTGGCCCGCGTATCGCTTGTTCTGTTGTCGTGCTGTTCGGCTCTTGTTCATTATTCATAGAGAGTGCTCCTTCTGACGCGTTCGATGTATCGTCCATACGTTGGGCAGTTGGTATCATAGGTCGGATGGTTGCATGGCATTGTGCTGCGCGTTTTATAGTTGGCGTCTGAACAGTTGATGCATGTTGGCCTGCTGGCGTGACAGTCCTTAACACTGTGACTTCCAGAGCAGAAGGCACAGTAGATTCTATTGGTGCATGTTTGCTGCAGATGGCCAAACTCCTGGCATCGGAAACATCTTTTTGTGTCGAAGTGCTCAGCAATCCTATGTCCTCTCCACCCAATGAAGAGCTTGGATGACTGGAGGAGGCTTCTAAATGCTGCTGGTTGACATTCAAGTATCCATTTGACGGTGTTTCCTCTGTCCTTGAGTCGGTACATGACTTTGGCTGTTGTTTTGGTGAGGTGGAGTTCTGAGGCGAGTGCATTTTCTATCTCTTCTGGCTGGACGTCAGGAGATACGTTGTGGATAGCCACTCGTGGTAGTCTAGTCAGTGGTTGCTTGATCTTGACTATTACTTGTCCCTGCGTGCTTTGTAAACTAGTAGTGAGCTTGGTCACGTCCTCTTTGGAAACACAGTCTACAGCTAGTCCTCCTTTCTGTAGATTTCTAATGGAGGAGATTTTAACTCCAAGCTTCTGAATAGGGAAATTTTCGTTAAGGACAGCTTTTAGGTCCTTATTACCCTGTGCAGTACCCTCAGAGGGATAAATTAAAACCGTATGTTTTGGCTTCGGTCTGGTTGCTTGCGCGTATGTTTTGACTCTGACGACGGTATCGCTAAGCGCTGATGAATCGTTGGGAGCTGTGCCGTGCAATGAACCGCAACAGACTATGGAGGGAGTGTTGGTACAGGCGTCTGCTGCTTCAGGTTTCGGTATGTAATTTGGACCTTCGAGTGCCAAAGTGTGCACTGCGTCTATCAAATCCAGGAGAGATACCTTTACGTCTGAAGGAAGAAGGTATCTGCCTCGTCTTTGTATGGAGGCTGTTTTTCTAAGACTTTCGCAGAGCTTATTGATTTTTGTGTGATAGTCTAATTCTGAGCCAGCAAGAGTTGCCGGATCAGAGTCGCAGTTAGAATTGTCGTACTCAGCCACTGAGGTTGATGGCCGTGTCATAGTAGCAATCACTTGCACTATACAATGCGAGAAACAGTTGTGGACTTGAGATGGCGCACTGAATTTGATGCAAAGAGTAAAATCACATAGAGACACACAGAAGTCGCTTCACAGGTATCACTGTTACACTTAAAGATCACTTATACATTTCACTGTAGTAAAAATTTCACTGTGACACTTACTCTGCTCGTAAATGCACTCACTGAACGTAAATGCACTTGTGCTAATCAGCACTAATCACTAATGCACTTTTTGTGCACTAATTACTTGCACACGTATCACTGTAAGCACTTAATAATCACTTATTCACTTTCACTGTAGTGAAATTTCACTGTGACACTAACTCTAATCAGCACTAATCACTAATGCACTTTTTGTGCACTAATTACTTGCACACGTATCACTGTAAGCACTTAATATCACTTATTCACTTTCACTGTGACACTAACTCTAATCACTAATACACTTTTTGTGCACTAATTACTTGCACACTTATCACTGTAAGCACTTAATAATCACTTATTCACTTTCACTGTAGTAAAATTTCACTGTGACACTAACTCTAATCAGCACTAATCACTAATGCACTTTTTGTGCACTAATTGCTTGCACACGTATCACTGTAAGCACTTAATAATCACTTATTCACTTTCACTGCAGTAAAATTTCACTGTGACACTAACTCTGCTCGTAATTCACACACACTTGCACTTTAAGTAACGCTAATGCTCTTATTCGAAGAAATTTGTAATGGTCAACAAATTAATTAATGCTAATTAATAAAATAGAATAATCAAAAGGTGACCAGAATGCTGTAATAGTACTATTATACATTCACGGAATAAATAATATGCACAGGGATACACACAAATAATATAGTATTACTATTTATGTTTAATTACTGCCTAGTTAAAACACGTTGGTAAGGCAATTACCACACATAAAAGTTTAGAATAAAGTACAGAGAAACTAAATCATAATGCTCTGATAAGAAATGCTACTGTTTATGCATTCCGTAAAAACATATTATCAAATACTGATACAAGAGAATTATACTGGCAATTAATATAATTAATGAGCCAGTTTGAACTGAGGTAAATAAAACAGATTTGTAATGGGAGCTAGAGCCTTCTGTGCAGAGTACAAATTAAATGCACACGATCACAGCAAAATTGTAGCGTTAGAAACTGTAATTAAATTAACATAGCAGTAATAGATATTATTAGATAGCGCAAAATGACACAAATTGACATAGTTTGATAATTATACAGTATCCGGTGTTATACCTGAAGCCTATTTTATAATATGAAGTTAATGACTAAAATTAGCCGAGTCTAACCAGTAAGTAATGCGATTCTTAATTAAACTAATTGATTTAATTAGAAACAGGCAATCCTACCTTGGTTGCTAACCTTCTCTGTACTATCTATAAGCAGCCGCGGTAAGCGAATTGACACTTGGCCGCTATTTTCTCTGCTCTTCTTCTGTATAATGAGTTTCTGCAGAAATCGTTCAAATATTGTCACTGTGTAATCCAAGAGATGGACATAAATCAGGTAAACACTGTACGTAAACACAGGCGCGCGAAGGTGAAAATCCTGTCCAAAATAAAGTCACAAAAAATGAAAACTCGGGTTGTAGTCGTCCAAAAAATTTGAAATTTATATCCCTGTAATCCCTGTCACATGAGGAGTCCAAAACTGAAGGTTCCGAAGAGCTACTTCAGTTAGTTGCCTAATTAGCGAAAAGACGAATTAAAACACAGTCCCTTTTGTTGGTCTTCTTTCCCCTTTGTTGATAGAAAGGAAGTCGCTGACGCCGGGGGGTCGCTGGACTGCAGGTGGTCGTTGGATCGCTTGAAAAGGTCGAGGGTCACGGACACCTCGTGGCTGCAGAATCACTTACTTTAAAAATTAATTACTAGCGGTATAATTTAACCAATTGTCTTGAAACTGGTCTGTAAATACTCCTTGTAAGGTCCTCTTTCCAGCGATATAAAATTCAATATGATTCGGCTTCCGGCGGTCGCTCAAAAACAATTTAAGGTTCAGCCCCGTTGGATGTTAAACTGAGAAATTAATGAATCCGTAATTAATGAACCGTTGGTCGTAGAACCAAAACATTAGTGTCTACGTATTCCTACTGATGTGGGCTAAATAATAAAACTTGTTTCAGCACCTGAAAATAAAAACTTCCGCTGCTAAAGACGAAACACGAGGAGCGACGAAAATGCGACCTACTGCTGCAAATATGGCCGCTGAATTATTTTGCTTATTTTGCAATTAGACATTCTAATACCATGCATTTTTAAAACGTTTTTGAGTCATAGAAAAGGAACATTTCTCTTCGGAAAGTACAAAAACATGGCCCTCAATTCACAGCTTGTTTATACGCGACATTTTGAAAGAAGAATAAATTTAAATGTAGTAGACGATATTTCTCAGTTCAGATAATAAGCTGCTGCCAGAAATTTTTATTCCAAAACTTTAATTCTCTACCGAAATCGTTGTAAAAAACCCTCTGTATTTATATTAAGTTACTTAAAATCCATTGATATTTTGAAAAATATCTTTCGCATCGCTTAATGTTATCAAAATAGTAAGGGACATACGTGATCTCATTAAACGGTGCTTATTGTAATTACAAAGGCCCTTGTCTTGTCCGGTATCAGCAAGCAGTACATCATTTATCAGTCAAAATTTCAGTAAATACAAAAAAAAAAAAAAAATTGTATATAATTCAGAAACACAAACAACAAGGAAAATCTTTTAGAGATTACGAGTAAGGTTAGATTATTTGAACCTGGCAAAGTATAGGAAGGCTGTCTAATATGCCTTCATTGGAGGACTTTCTAAGGGAAACTGGCTTGTATTCACATTAAGCATGGAAAAAAAACACGAAATTTATCCGTGCATCCAGCCCGTTCACCAGGGATCGAAACCATGTCCTACTACCTGTATTCAGCACCATACCCCCTCGGCCACCGATGCGCCCTAGATTACAAGTAAATATAATATATGTAGATCTACGTGTACCAACACATGATATTAGCCTGCAGTGTGCAACCAATTAAATCAAAATAAGCAAACAAAAAATTGTATGTATCCATAATGAGCTAAGAAAATTACTTACTGCAATATATAAGTTCCTAATAAACACAAATCAAATAGGAAAGGAAATACGATGTAAGGTTTAAAATTTAGAAAAAGAATCTGAATGCTTTCAGATTTTATATTACGCCCAAAGAGGCGTTTTTTTTAACGTTTTGTGTGTTACCTTTATTTACTAAGTATCATGTTCTTTGCACTTAAACCACAAAATTCAGTTCAACAGCAAATATCACAAAATATCTAAAAGAGCATATCTTTAGAATTTCCGATACACAGTTTCGCACGCTGGAGATAATTTTTTTGGGGGGGGGTCTGTAGAGTGTTGCCATTGCTCGCTTTGAAATCGTTGAGCTTCTTAATCAAAAACTCATAAAGGCTTTACAAAATATGAAATAGATAATAAAACAAATTCCAAATTCGGGCTTCTAGATGCCCATATTCGGGTGGAGACGTACGTTATTCAAAATTTGATGGCTCTAGGTACCGTTGTTTTATCACAATGCGAGAAACATACATACATTTACGC